TTTTTTTTTCTCACATTGATTTATTTTTGAGAGACAGAGTGAGACAGTGCACGAGTGGGGGAGGGGCAGAGAGAGAAGGAGATACAGAATCTGAAGGAGGCTCCAGGCTCTGAGCTGTCAGCACAGAGCCTGACGCGGGGCTCGAACCCACAAACCGTGAGATCATGACCTGAGCTGAAGTCGGACACTCAACTGACTGAGCCACCCAGGTGCCCCTAAAATAGAAACTCTGAATGCAAAGATCACAAACTCACATGCTTGTAGAAGCCAAGCAGGTAAAAGTAAATGGTAAAGCTACCTGGATCAAAGAGCTGGTAGGAAGTACGAAAGGACACGAAAACCCAATCAAAACTCCACTTTGCAACCTCTGCCTTAATCTTTGTGAAGCAACAGCCGTTGCACAAATTAGTGGATAAAATGTTTTAATAGTAGGCATTTAAAATACTGATCAGACCCAGCAATTCCATTTCCAGATATATGCCCAAGAGAATTGAAAAGACATGTCCACACAAAAATTTGTACATGTTCAAAAAAAAATTTGTACATGTTCAAAAAATTGTACATGTTCATAATATCATTATTCATAATTGCCCCAAAGTGTGAACAGCCCAAATGTCAATCAGCAGATTAATAGATACACAAAATGTGGTATATCTGTGTGATGGAATACTGTTCAGCCATAAAAAGTTATAAAGATACATATGAGACCTGCTGTAATGTAGATGAGCCTTGTAAATAAACATTTTGCTACGTAAAAGAAGCCAGCCACAAAGGACCACATGCTATAGGATTTCATTATAGGAAATATCCAGAATAGGCATATCCGTAGAAACAAAGTAGACTGTTTCCCCAGGCCAGAGGCTGGGGACAGGGAACTGGGCAGCGATTGCTAATGGGGAAAGGGGTTCTTTTTTGAGGTGATGAAAATGTTCTGTACTAGGTAAGTGGTCATAGTTGCACAATTCTGTGAGTATACTAAAAGCCATCGAGTTATGCTGTAAAAAAAAAAATTTTTTTTAATGCTTATTTTTTGAGACAGAGACAGAGCGTTAGCAGGGGAGGGACAGGGAGAGAGGGAGACGCAGAATCCAAAGTGGGCTCCGGGCTCTGAGCCGTCAGCACAGAGCCCAACGTGGGGCTCAAACCCTTGAACCACAAGATGACGACCTGAGCTGAAATGGGACACTTCACCAACTGAGCCACCCAGGTGGCCTGAGTTACACTTTTTAAAGAGAGTGAATTTTAGAGTATGTGAATTCTGTCTCAGTTTTAAAAAATCAGAAAACAAAAGCTCCAATGAGGGCATAAAATGTTCTCTATTAAGTCAAGTAAAACTGGATTTACGGCACTGCCCCGATATCTTCAACTTGGAAGATATTCTGGATTAACCTCTGAAAAGCTGTTAACTGGCACGGCAGTGCCCTTCTTCCCAAAGGTAGCAGCGCCCCCCCCCCAACCCCCGCCTCCTGTCTGAGACCCTGCATCCTCTAAGTTAGCAATGAGGTCCAGCGTTTACCCTTGTTGATTGGTAACTATGTCTTTTTAATATTGGAGCAACATAGCCAAACCACAGATACCAGATCAAGGATTTTCTCTGTGTTTCAGGTATGTGTACACGATCACCCTCATCCCTGCCAGCCTCCCACCCTCCTAGCAGCCCTGCACTACAGCATCAGTCCACGCACTGTCTAGCGAGCCTTGCCCCAGTCCAGCAGTCTTTCAGTCTGAAAAGGAAAGCAGTCAGTGTTGTGAATGACACTCAGTTCTGTGATTTGTGTATACAATGGTCGTTTAGGTCTTTGCCGGCCTATAAGAGTGTAACGTGAGCCTTGTTTGTACTTTTCATTTTTCTAGTAGCCACATGAAAAAAAGTAAAGGGGAAGAGTCAAATTAATAATGTATCTTATTTAATCCAGTGTGGCTAAAGCATTATCATTTCAACATGTAAGCAATATTAAAAAAATTATTACCGAAATCTGTTATATTCTCCTTTTTTGTCCTAAGTCTTGGAAATCTGGTGTGTTTTACGCTTACAGCAACGTGTTCAGCTCCACGAGCCGAGAGCCGCCTTCTCTCGCTCCCAAGTCTTAACCAACTCCCAAGCCCGCCATATTTAATCTCTTCCAGTTCCATTGGCACCTGATGATGGGAGAACAGCCCAAGGCCAAATCTCAGACCCCAAAGAGTACCCTTGAGCTAAGAAAGCCTGGAGTGTGAGCTGAGGCACATCGAACCTCCTAGTCCAGGAGCAGACATCCATAAGAAGTCCGAGATTTGTAGGGCCTCCATGACCTAAAGCAGGGTTTAGCAAACTATGGCACAGGGGTACGAAACACAATATTCGAAGACCTTTTTATGCTTCCTTTTCTTATTTTTAAATTTCTTACGCGTGTTTTATAATGCACACGGTGTCATCCAGTAGTACACGAAATTTACAAATTAAAAATTCCTGTTTGGAACCAATGCGCATTTGCTGTCGGTTCAGCCGATTGTAGGGAGTTTGGGGTTTTGTCCTGTTGGCACGAAAGGAAGGAGAGGGAGAATTGGGCTGGGCATGTGTGAATCAGCTGCTTGTTCAGAGTTTCAGCTTGACTATGCTGAGGCCCTTGTGGGACTGGGTTGAGCCACAGAAGAAAATGTGGCTGGGTTATTTTAAGCTGTGGTCCTGGCATAGGGCTGATAGTGATAGCCAGCAGGAATGCTCTGGTTTCCCCATCTCTTGGTCTATACGTCAACCAGGCACTTTTCCGTGTGCTTGGGACAGTCGTCAAGACCCCTGGAAGTGCCAGCTTGATTTTAGGGTCCCCACCTAGGAGGCGAAGACCCAATTCCCTAACTTCTTGCTCCAAATGAAGACCACTTAAGCCTCAGAGATGGTAACGTGCCCTGTGGATTACCTTCAAAGGGTCTCTGTGTAATTCATCCGGGGTCGTTTTTTGCTCCCACAGTTCTTATATAAACTTTCTGGTGTACAGCAATGAGTCATTCTTGAAATTTTAAAGTGTTGTTGTAACCTCTTTTGAAAGGAAAATTACTAGTATTCTTGGTAACGCTCGGTAGAACGTTGGGCTCCCGAATGCTTATGTATTTTTAATGTTGAATGTCTGGAATAGCCATTTTGAATATTCATGGACGTCAGTATTTATTTTCTCTTACCTTTTCCTCAAATATGTACACATTGAAGGCATTTGTCTTATTTTGATTTTCATCGTGTTCAAATGGAAATGAGAAAGATGCCCTTTTCCTGTACCAGAACCTAAGGCTCGTAGACCTTTTTATTTCTAAGGCAGCAAAGCCAGTTGGTTCAAAAATCTTCTTACTCCCCGTTCACCTGGGGTTTAATTAAAACCCGTGTTAATTTATGAATTCCCGGACCGAGAGCTGTAGTGCTAAGTAAGGTGCTTGTCTACGAGAGAATGAAGGGAACCGGGATTTTGAACACAGATAGTGTCCTTGGGGGGAAGAGGGTGAGGAAGGGGACTTCCCTCAGTACTATGAGCGGCTATCTTCTTTTCTGTCCCCACACACAGGAATTTATTTCCAAGAATCCCATGAGTGTCTTGGCTTTGTTTAAAGCTATTCTAAACCCATGCTTTGTTTGGGAAAATGTTTGAGACCCTCCAGAAAGTCTCAGTTTAACATTTCATCTTAGGGGGGGCGCCTGGGTGGCTCAGTCAGTTAAGCATCTGACTTCAGCTCAGGTCATGATCTCCTGGTTCGTGAGTTCAAGCCCCGCGTCGGGCTCTGTGCGGACAGCTCAGCTCGGAGCCTGGAGCCTGCTTCAGATTCTGTGTATCCCTCTCTCTCTGCCCATCTCTCCTCTCTCTCTTTCTGTCTCTCTCTTTCTCTCAAAAATAAATACACATCAAAAAAAAAAAAATCCCATCTAGGGACACCTGGGTGGCTCAATTAGTTGAGCATCTGACTCTTGATTTCAGCTCAGGTCATGATCCCAGGGTCGTGGGATCCAGCCCCGAGTTGGGCTCCGTGCTCAGCATGGATTTCTCTCTCTCTCTCTTTCAAAAAAAAAAAAAGAAGAAGAAGAAGAAGAAGAACAAAAAAACCCTTCATCTTTATTTCTTTTTGGACACCAGCAGTTTATGCCTGGTCGCAAGGTGTGAGCGTCGTTTATTGGTAACTGCACCTTTCTGGTTTACTATTCGTTCTGATGTGTCTAGGCTTTATTGTGACAGCCCCTACGGTGGTTTTGTATTAATTTCGAATCAAGACCACGTCTGCCTTCGTCATTGACCCCAGTCATGGCCAGGAATTTTCTTAGTAGGGTAGAAACAGGGAGCGATGTGGTTTATAAAGCAGCTAAAACTGACCGATGAAGACCTGCCCACAGAAGAAAAGAACCTAAGAACGTAATGCGAATTCAGAAGTAAATCTTTCCAAATGATGCCCATCCGAATTAACAGTGGAAATTACCATTGACTTGTCTTTTGATCAGCTTTTGAAATCTCTTCTCCCCAGCCTAACGGAAAGGTCCACAGTATTATAATAATAGCCTCGCATCTGTATACTTTTAATGTAGTCTTAGCTGCAGGACGAATGTCAGGAAGCCAATTTGTAAGTTGTAGGAGACTTTTTATGCAGTTATGCAGTCATGCGATGTTTTCCTGGGCTCACCCTTAAGCGCGAGGCCGCTGACACTGGGCAGATGCTCTGTTTTTGCTGGACTCTTTGGTTTTCATGGCAGACCACTAAACATTTTTTTTCTTGTGTGTCTCTTTGCCATCCCCCCCACCCCCACTGTTCCCAGGATGATGAGGATGATAATGCGGGCACAGAGATGAAGATACTTCGGGGACACTGTGGACCAGTATACAGCACAAGGTTCCTCGCAGACAGCTCAGGGTTGCTCTCTTGTTCTGAAGACATGTCCATTAGGTACTGGGACCTCGGGAGTTTCACCAACACTGTGTTATACCAAGGACATGCCTACCCTGTGTGGGACCTGGACATTAGCCCATATAGCCTGTACTTTGCCAGCGGGTCCCATGACCGCACCGCGAGGCTGTGGTCATTTGATCGGACGTACCCGCTGAGGATATATGCCGGGCACCTGGCAGATGTGGACTGTGTCAAATTCCACCCTAATTCGAACTACTTAGCCACAGGCTCGACCGACAAGACTGTCCGGCTGTGGAGTGCCCAACAGGGGAACTCAGTGAGGCTCTTCACCGGCCACCGCGGCCCCGTGCTCTCTCTCGCCTTTTCTCCCAATGGTAAGTACTTGGCATCGGCCGGCGAGGACCAGCGGCTGAAGCTGTGGGACTTGGCCTCTGGGACCCTTTATAAAGAACTGAGGGGCCATACGGACAACATCACCAGCCTCACCTTCAGTCCGGACAGTAGTCTGATCGCCTCTGCGTCCATGGACAACTCGGTGCGCGTCTGGGACATTAGGAACACGTACTGCAGCGCCCCTGCAGACGGCTCCTCTGGAGAACTCGTGGGCGTGTACACCGGGCAGATGAGCAATGTACTGAGCGTGCAGTTCATGGCCTGCAACCTTCTTCTAGTGACTGGAATCACACAAGAAAATCAGGAACATTAATTTCTTTTTTTTTTTTTTTTTTTTT